AATTAGCTATTCCACTCAATTTTGTGTCATCTGAAATTCTGATAATTCCTGCACCCCCTCATCCAAGTCATTAATAAAAATGTTGAAGAACAGGGGCCCCAGACCGAGCCTTGTGGTACTTGTTACCTCCTCCCATTTTGAGAAGGAGCCATTAATAAGCACTCTCTGAATGTGATTCTGTAACTAACTGTGTATTCACCCAATAGTAGTTCTATCCAGCCCACATCTAGTTAGCCAGCAAATCAAAATATTATGGGGCACTTTGTCAAAAGCTTTTCTGAAATAAAGATATATTATGTTTACAACATTCCCACCCTCTATCAAGGAGGTTAAACAATCAAAAAAACAAGATACAATTAGTCTGGCAAGATTTGTTCTTGACAAATCTGTGTTAGCTTCTAGTTATTACTGCATGATTTTCAAGGTGCTTCCAAAGTGCTCTAAAAATTTCCTTGGGATTGATATCAGGCTGACTGGTCTGTAGTTCCTAGGTTCCTCCTTTTTGCCATTTTTGAAGATAGGGACAACATTATCCCACCTCCAACCATCCAGCACTTCATCCATCCTACACGATTTCAAGAAAATAATAGACAATGATTTAGAGAGTTCTTGAACCACTTTCTTCAACACTCTTGGATATAGTCAGTCCAGCCCTGGAGATCTGAGCGCATTCAAAGTAATAAGGTGATTGATTATTTGTTTATCGAACTCATCCTGTTCCCTTCTATTATATTTCACATTTGCGTGGAAAACACAAAGCTAAAGTGATCACTTTATCACTTCTGACTTTACTTTGTCATCTGTTATTCTTCCATCCCCATTTAGTACCTGAGGCATTATTTCTTTTCTCTGTATTTTGCTAGTCATGTACCTGAAGAATGACCCCCTTTTTTGCTTTTAGTGTCTCTTGCTATCCTCAGCTCATTCTCAGATTTTGCCTTCCTACTGCCATTCCTGCAATTGTTTGCTACTTGTCTGTACTCTTTCTTTGGGGCTGGCCTTCATTCTACATCCTATATGTGTCATTTTATTTTTATTTTCAGGTCCTCTCTGAGTTTCTTCTAAAAGCAATATTGGTCTTTTTTGCTGTCTTCCATCTTATTTTCTCTTTGGAATTGTTAGTAGTTCTGTCTTTAGAATTTCCTTTTTTTAGAGACTCCCACCCATCTTGGACTCAGTTTCCTGTTAGGACCTTCTGCCATGCACCTTACTTATTATTCTGAGTTTATTAGAATTGGCTTTTCTAAAATCCAGCACACACTTTACTTTAGTATCCTTTCAATTCAAGAACTCTGGTAGAACATGGTTACTTTCTCCCAGAGTTCCCTTTGCTGCCACTTCTTCACCGAGTCATCTCTATTGGTTAGAATCAAGTCAAGGATGGCAGCTACTCTAGTTTCTTCCTCCACTTTTTGTAGGAGAAAATTATCAGCCACAAAAGCCAGGAATTTCTTGGAAGGGCCATATTTGGCAGAATTTGCCTCCGAAAAGATATCAGAATAATTGAAATCTCTCAGTACTGCTACATCATGTTTCTTTGAAATTCTTACAATTTGTTTTTTTTTCAAAGGTTTATATACACATTTTCCTTGACTGGGTGGTTGAGAGTAGACTCCCACTACCATGTTCCTTCCGTTTTCCCCAGGTTCCCCATCACTACATTATTGCTTCAATTTTCAACTTTTAGACAATTATTAAATTATAATTTCCCAATTGAGTTTGTATACTTCCAAAAGAAAGAATGAGTGGTTATACTGTCAGCAGTATTTTAAACCTAGGAATTACACCCAAGTTGAGACACAAGTAATGGTATGACATGCCTTGGTGGCATATGACTGTGCCTCATGCCCAAACATTAATTTATCTCCCTTACTTCCTGTACTCTTGATAGAGAGTTACTCCTACTTTTGTGGAAACTACTGTTTGCCAATATGTGGAAAACAGAAAACTGTGCTTTGAAAAAAATTGTTCCATGAGAATCAGATTGTGGTTTACATTTGTGGCTTGGAGGCTTATGAAAGGCATGGCTTTTAAACTCAGATAAGCAATAACACTCGGCTTTCATGAAAATGAAATGAAATGATTAGAACTTTGTTGAGCCTGCATATGGCAGGACAGTCCATACAAACTGAGAGTGGTCAAGAAGACAATTAATCTTTCTTACACATGATTTTAAACAGATAGGTAAAGGTAAAGGTTCCCCTTGACATTTTAGTCAGTCGTGTTCGACTCTAGGGGGTGGTGCTCATCCCCGTTTCCAAGCCATAGAGCCAGCGTTTGTCCGAAGACAGTTTCCATTGTCACGTGGCCAGCACGGCTATACACGGAACACTGTTTACCTTCCCACCGAGGTAGTACCTATTTATCTACTTGCATTTACATGCTTTCGAACTGCTAGGTTGGTGAGGAGCTGGGACAAAGCGACGGGAGCTCACTCCGTTATGTGGATTCGATCTTACGACTGCTGGTCTTCTGACCCTGCAGCACACAAAGGCTTCTGCGGTTTAGCGCGCAGCACCACCACTGACAAAGTAGCAACCAAATCAGTTGGCCATGAATATAATTCATTAAAAACAGGGTCTGTGCTCAGATCATAAAGGGAAAAGCGTTAATCTCAATGATGGCAACCCTTCTCACTGCATGGGATAGGGCAAGTGAACAGAGTAGCTTCAGAACATGTGCTGACCTCCTTTCTATTTTGTGACATACAAAGGCTGCATATAACAAAATAATTATGGCTAAGTTCAGAGCCTCTACAATCTGAGACTCTTCACTCTGTGTATCACATCCCAAACTCTCCTAAGCACGCCACACATGCCAGGAATGTAGAGTCCTGGGATGGAAATTCAGTGGCAATAGACAAACAAGGTAACATGGCATTGACCAAAAGTGGAATTTTTTTTATAAGCCCTGAGAACTGTTGTTGAATTATCATGAAGAGAATAGGAAGAAGATTTCAGCACTTTGGCTATGTGCTACTTGTTTATCATTCACATAACATATTTTTTCCTGACCCCTACATGCACAGCTTCCTAATTTTATACCATGAGATCAAGATTTCTATTTAATAAATGTAAATCATAGGACTTAACTGAAATGAGATGCTTTGGATAAAAATCCTCTTTCAACGAGCTCCCTCCCCTTTTTAGTGATTTCCCCCTACCAGAAAAGGCCATTTCAGTAATGAAGAGAAGAGTGCAGAATGTACTTGTTCATTTTGATTCCCAGTCCACAAACCCTCCCCAATACTACATAAAGTAGAGGAGTGCTCTTTCATTTTAAAAAAACAAAACAAAACTTCCACCTCTCAGAATTATCCAAGGATTCCCTAGGCAGAATTCTAGGAGTTTTAGCCCCAAACACACCTACAATTTATTCACTTGGAGAAAGGCTCTGAGGCTACATAGCTTTGCTTCCAGTTGGCAATGTTTTTTAAAAAAGGAAGCTGCCATGGTATTTCCTGTAAGTTGTAGTTCTTTGGGAGATGTCCTCTATAGATCCTAATGGGCAATTTTGCAATAAACAGGTTATACAATAAACAACAGAGAGCCCCGTGAGATGTTAAAAATTAACAAATTTATTAAGGCTTAAGTTGTCATAGTTTACAGACCACTTAATCAGACATACGAAGCATTGTCCCAAATTTCAAGTGAAGAAATAAATAGTACACACAGTTCAGTGGCAGAGCAAGGATGCAAGGTTGGAAAGAAATCACACATATATTATTCACAAGTAGATTGCCAATCATGTAATTCTCTTTTTCAGTATTTTTAAACTTAATTTCACTCTCACCTCACTGCCTATCCCCCCACGTACTGAATATATACACCTAAATTTTAAATAGCAATTCAAATGTCTGATTAAGAGGACTATAGTCCACACAAACCTTTGCTATGATACATTTCTTTGTCTTTAAGAAACCAGAGGAATATTTGTACATTTTGAACCAACAGTCAAACATGGTTGCACCTTTAGAAAGTAACTGCTATTTGGGCCTGGAAACATCAAGCAGGTGCACTAGAAATGGGCATGAATCAGAAAAAAGGTGATTTGTTTTGATTCATGATTTATCAAAGTTGAAAAATGATGAATTACAAATTTACAATTTTTTTCTGACAAACCGATGAATCGATTCAATTCATTTGTAAATTTAAAACCTTATAAAATACCCCTCCGAGCACCTAGAGACACCAAATTCACACGGAAACATCCCCTGACTCTCTTTTACAAGCCCTGCTTGTTTGGTAAAGTCTTGGCTTAAGACCTCTGAGATATACACCCACAAGGAGAGGCCCCCAGAAAACTTGCCCCAAGGGACACCAAACACACAGAGAAGCTTCTACTAACCCTCCTATACAAGCTTGTCAAGTTTAGTAAAGTTTGGGTTTCAGACATCCATGGTATACACCCACAAAGTGTGTCTGTCCACAAAATTGGTGAAACCCAATCTTCATCAAATTTGGAGGGGTTGTAGAAGAGAGTCATGGGAAGCTTTTCTGTGCTTTTAGTGTCCCTAGGTTCCAGGGGGGCAGACTTTCCTGGGGTGCTCTTTGTGAGTGTATAACTTGGACATCTGAAACTCAGTCTTCACCAATCTTGAAGGTATTATAGAAGAGTCAGCAGAAGCCTCCCTGCAGTTTTGGGAGGCACCTTTTAATAATTTTTATGGCATAGCCAAATGAATCAGTGAATCAAAACTGCTAAGTGTCCCTGATTCATATTCATCAGGGACACTGATTGTACAAATATGAATTGATGAATTACTGATTTTTTGAACAAATTTGATGGTTTTTTAAATTCATACCCTTCTCTAATGTACACCAAAGCTGCTCATGGAGCATATTTCAATTGTCTTGACATGCCCAAGGCCTTTTTTCACCTCATAAAATGGATCAACCCAATTATATGGTAATCTGATCCAATGCCATATTTAAAACCTGGATTAGAGATTGTTTCCATTTATACCTAGTAATGTTTAAATGCAAAAGTTTTCACAGCACCTTTAATTTCATCATGGAATCTTGACATAACTTGTCGCCTCGTGCTGCAGAAACTTCGTCTATCCCAATGAGTTTTGCTTTATATCGAACACCGTCCCCTTTAAACCTTTTTATCAAAGTGGCTTCACTACGATCCTGACCTGAAAAGAGAGAGAGGTGCAACCTTGAAATCTATACAATCAGAATTGTACAAAAGTATTACAAGCATAAATGCTTACAAGCACAATTACTACTATATGAATTTACTACCTTTGTTATCTAAATGGGTTAATCAAATTTCTGCATCAATGATTTATTTATTTTAAGCATTTATTAATAGATTTTCTGCGTACTCTGGGACCCCAAAGCATTCTACAATATGTACAACAGAGGTTAATTATTTGATAGGTCACATACTACAAGACAACACACAATACAATCTACAGGCTGGGCAGGGAGCTGTTCTGCACATTAATTATTATTTATTAGATCATCATTTTTACTATTTTATTTTAGTACAATTACCCACAAACCATAATACATTTTGAAGATGCTATTTTCTGATAAAATGTGGCTAACTACATCTGAACTGGAATGCTCAGGGCTTAGTCTCAACGCACTAGTGAGTAGGGGGGATGGGGAGCTTATAGCTTCTCTCTGATCATATGGATGATGTAGCTTCTTCATAACTGATATCAATGTGTGCATACTGATGGCATGAAAACATATCAACATTGTTCCCATAGTCCATATACTATCAAACCTTTCCAATCTTTTTGTGTCTTCTGAGACATACATACATAGCTGGAGGCAATGCCTTGTCTCTCAAAGTGATACTAGTACTGTATAACTGATCTGTATTATGCTGATTGCCAGGCTAGAAACAACACAAGACATGGTCATTTAATACTTCTGGCTTGGCTATCTCTTTGGCCAAGCATAGCTGCTGGTGTGTCTCAAACAAATATAGATCCTCAGAATTCTTTACAGGAGTAAGAACTCCTGAGTAGCTCAGAGGATTAGGTACCTGGCTATAAAGTCAGAGGTTGGGAGTTCAATTCCCCAATGTGCCTCCTTGACAGGGGCTGGACTTGACAATCCACAGGGTTCCTTCCAGCTCTCTAGTTTTAAGATGATGATGGTAATTACTATTATTGTTATTACAGTACAAAACAGAAATTTCATTTCAGTGTGAAATATCAGTCTTAATTTTTGTATGTCAGAACACTGAGTTATGCAAGCACAGAAAACATACTACTATGTTTTAATGTAAAATGAAGATTTTTGCGCCAAAATGGATAAGAGAGATAACCAAACTGCTAATCAATACCAAGCTTTGAATATAGAGGGCCAAGACTCTCCAAAATGAAGATTGCCTGAGGTGCTATCATTGCCTGACTTTGGAAATGGCTTCAATTTTGTCATATCTGAAATTTTCTCCCAAACTTAACAGTATGTATTTTAGCAGAGGCCATGGGTGATGAGTTAAGATGAGAGATAGCAAGCAAGAAAGGGGAAGAATGAAACTGAGGGCCAAACTAGATGATACACTTAAATGTATTTAAAAACAGTGTCTCCTTCATGGTAAAAGAGATCTGAAAGATGGGACATTATTTCCCTTATCTTTATAACCTGGATTTAGCTGTGCTTTGTTTTGTGACTAGTCACTGGAATTTTAACACAAATTTATTTTATAAATCTGATTCCAGAAGCATGAATTTCAAAGGAAATTCCTCCACATATTAAAATCAGGAAATATATATTTTCCCTCATATCTAGTTTGACCATCAAAGACCAAGTCCAGCTATCCAGAAACATCCATGTTCAATGAAAATCTGAAACTGATTTTTCAAGTCAAGCAAAAATATCTGTTCACCATGTGGCATGGTCATTCCACATCCAGTGATAATTCAGGAACTGAACTAACAATGTCATCAGTGTTGTTCAATTCTGTATTCTGCTTCATGTTGTATGAATGCTCAGATTGAAAAGAGATAACAAAATTACTACAATTTTCCTCTTCCTCCTTATCACCAAATTAAAAAACCCACTCAATCCTTTTTCCTTTCTTCCAGGGACAAAAACAACAGTTTAACATGTTTTGTCTCATTTTTTCCTGCAACCACACTAAAAAATATGAGGAAATTCTAACTAATCACCATTCACCTTCTCTTTCTACTACACTGGCTTCTCTTCTGAACTTCCGTAGAGGATTTATTAAATCGTTGTATCTTCACACTCTTAAACAACATTTTATAAAAGACTAATGGCACATGGATGATGAATCAGAAAACTGTAAGTAATGCTTAAATTATGCTAGAGGGAAATGCTGAGGCAGATGTTACTACTAAATGCTAAGAGCAATAAACCAACATTTGTAACACTAAGCTCTCAGGGAAAAAACCACATCTGGATGCACGGCAATGCTTGACTTCATCATAAGGCTATTCTGCTTGTAGTTTGTGTGTGTAAACATTTATGTCACTACTATTTTGTTGGGTAGTAAATAAAATCTAATTCACAAACACTTCAGGTTGACAATTCCTACTATTTGTCTTCATTATATATAACAATAAAGGCATTATCAAAGCACATCTTATCTTGTATTCCCTTGTATAATGCAACAACAGTTCCTTCTTACTTACTGCTGCATATGAGTGGAAGGAATCCTTTACTAGTCCCCAGAAATCCATCTTTGAAACTGGACTGTGGATCAGCACCAACTTTTGCCCAGATATAGCAGACAGTCTGCTCTTGCTGTCTGCCAAATCCGGGAGAGTTTGGGCTATTCACACTTGTCAAAAAACAGCTATGACAACTGCTCTGTGTTTCAGTAAGAAGTAATTAACTGATGAAAAAAGAAGTCATCTTCTGGGATTTTTCCTTGCTTGATGTCACTTTGTGAATGGTAGTGAGAAGAAGAAGATATCCTGTAGATCAACTTGACTGCTGTCGTTGGTGTCATTAACATTTAGGCTGCCCTTTGCTATGGAAAGTCTGGCATCCTTTTTCCTGCTGGCAACACAGGCACAATATTATGCAGCCATTTCCTGGCTTTTTGAATCACGGATATAGAAGTGTAATATCCTAGATTCATAAAGCAAAGCAAAGCGTGCTTATATACAGCCCCATAGCACTTAGGGCACTCTGTGGATGGTTGACAATGTAACTATGCAGGCTACACATTGCCCCTGCCCCCTGGCAAGCTAGGTAAACCAGAGGCTTTTTTTAAAAAAGAATTCAATTATCATGAGATGGAAAAAAAGACTGTGGAAGCAGAAAGCCCTGTTCAAAACAATGGGGTGATCTCTGGCTTCATAACAACGATTTGGAGAAAAGTGGAAAAGAAGTGCACTCTAGCCATGGAGCCATCACACTCTGTGAATATATAAACAGGATACCAGCCTTTGTAAATGGACAACTAAAGTAGTCAGAGATTTCTGTTGTTGTATGTGATGTGCTCCTTAATGACTTCCAGAGTTCTCTGTTCAGATAAGAGAAACAGCTGGTGAGAAGGGCAAAGTACCATAATAATAAGGTACACTGATCCCAGGGAAAGAGAGAATTATAGGTCCCAAGTATCCATGTTTAGCTATGAACACATATCAGGCAGTCTGGTTCATATCAAGGGAAATAAAAGAAACAGAAGAATAGAAAGTCCTTCAATTTTGAAAAAACCAAGAAGGCCATTTTACAATTTGAGAGAAGCAGCCAAAAAGCTGAAACAACAACAAAGAAACTAATACAAAAAGCTTTGTCGGGAGACATGGTAGAACACCAAAGTTTTGTCTATTATATAATTTGAGAAATGCACTAAAATAAGTTCAGAAAAACAGACACTTTTCTTTTGTAGTGTATGAGATTGTACTGGGTGATGCGATATGTGTATATGTCATGAGTAGAGGTGGGCATGAACTGCCAAAATGGTGGTTCATCTTGGTTCATGGATGTCCAGCCCATCAGGGGCCTCTGCACAGCTCCCCGCCTCTCAGCTAAGAAAAAATAATAATAAACTTTAATTATTATTAAGTTTAAAAAATAATTTATTTTTAGCAGCATCCCTATCAGCCCACCAAGGGGCCTCTGGGAAAATTCCTGCCTCTCAGCTATATACTACCCTGTTTCCCTGAAAATAAGACCTAACCTGAAAATAAGCCCTAGTATGATTTTTCAAGATGCTCGTAATAAAAGCCCTACCCCCAAAATAAGCCCCAGTTTAGTGAAATCTTGCCTTCCATCATTGTGCAACACTGTGCAGCAACTAGAAGATGACATGACTGTATTTGAACAAATGTAGATTGTTGTACGTGGAAAAAATCCACTGAAAATAAGCCCTAATGCATTTTTTGGAGCAAAAATTAATATAAGACCCTGTCTTATTTTTGTGCAGAGGCCCCCTGGTGGGCTGACAAGCCGACTAACAAAAACAAATTCTTCCTCTGCAGATGTCCATGTCTCAGCTGAGAGGTGGGGACCTGCTCAGAGACTCCCTGGTGGGCTGATATGGGGTGCCTGTGCAGCCTTCTGGGCCTGCTGTCTCTATGGATTGCAGAAGAGGAGGTGGCAGGACAAGGTAGGGAAGCAATAGGGGGCAGAGGCAGGCTGTGCGTGGGGGGGAATGAATCAGGAAATTTGTTAAATCAGGGGGAAAAATTAATTGGTTCAGGAATGTTCAGGTTCTCCAGTTTGGACGGACCAAACCAAACCAACCCAAATCAATGAACTGGTGATATTTGTTTTACAAATTTCCTGGTTTGTTTTTATATTCATGCCCATCTCTAGTGATGAGCTCTACACTACAAGTTTATACTGGGTTTCCCCTAATTGATTTTTGGGACTGTGCTAAAAACAACACATATTCTTCATTACCTCTGCTCATATAGACAAAGCTTAAACTATCACTTCTTTTCAACATTGAAGTGACATGATTCTGGAAGTTTCAATATAATTCCTTAGCATTTATGTAGATGGGGCATTTCCATAAAATATCTAGCATGGAAGATAAAGTGTGCTGACACAACTGGAAGCCTTCTCAGTAAACTGCAAAGGTGACACGTATTTATAAAACAGATGAAAACAGCAAAAAAAAATTGCTTCAAAAATGTATTAAATAAGCTCTGGAAAGGGCGAACAGCAATATATGGGATGACATCTGCTTTAT